TTCCCCTCTGATTTCACCCATCATGCAGAGATCTGAGGAGGAACCTGTGCAGGAATCCAGATGGTGACCGAGCCCCTTGGTGCTACACCACAGATCCCACAGTAAGGTGGGAGTATTGCAACATCGAGCGGTGTGAAAACAAGCCCAGCTCACGGGAGCCTCCTACCAATCCATCACAGGCTGCAGCTTCTCCATCTATTTCTCCATCTACTTCTCTGGAAATAGGTTCATCCACCTACAAGCCAACAGATTAGCTTAAATGTCAGGGAGGAAGTGAGTTACCATGTGCTTTGTTTCTTTTCACAAGATTGTAAGGTTGGTAACGGAGCAAGTTACCGGGGTCCCACATCCACTACTATTATGGGAGTGACCTGCCAAGCATGGAGTTCTATGACCCCCCATCAGCATGCCAGTTTTACCCCTGAAACGCATCCAGACAAGGGTCTAGAGTCAAATGTAGGTCTATGTAGAAATTCAAGCATTTTTTTCAAGGCAATTCTGGACATTTAAACACATTTTTTTACTTGATTACACAATTAGCAATGCAGAAACCCAGACAGTGATGTGAACGGACCTTGGTGCTATACAACAGATAGAAGTAAGAAGTGGGATTACTGTCAGATCCCAGACTGTGGTAAGTGTTCTTAATATTCCTCTTGGAAATGCTCGACTCCAATGGCAAGAATTGTTGTTTTCCAAGCGATCAAATATCCTTGCTATGTAAGATGCATTACATGCATATTCCTTTCTAATCAGATGGCCTGAAATGCGGACAACCAGCAACAAAACCCAAGCGGTGCTTTGGGCGGATCGTTGGGGGATGTATTTCTAAACCCCACTCCTGGCCTTGGCAGATCAGTCTTCGGACCAGGTATACCAACAAGCCACCCTCCTCTGCACTCATTGATAAATTGTAGTTATTAACTGTCATTTTCTGTCATGCCAGAGGGAAAATTCATTTTTGTGGTGGAACACTAATTGATGCTCAATGGGTTCTAACTGCAGCTCACTGCCTAGAGAGGTGAGTGACTTACTTTTTTATTGTTTGAGGAGACAAAAATGCAAATAAAGGGTTGAAAGTGTTGCCAATGTTTAGAAATAGACCAGTACAGTGGTTCTCCCTCTACTACTGGGGATTCACAACACATGAAATGGAGTTGACAACCATGTACTCCACTAGCATATAGATGACCTCAAAGTCACAAAGAGACATGGATGAAAACCCAAACAACTCTTTGATGGGGTTATGGTTAAATGTGTACCTACCATTGTGCAGGTCTGAGAGTCCATCTGCCTACAAGATCTTCCTTGGAGTCCACACAGAACGTGCAAATGAACCATCCAAACAGGAGCGAGATGTTTCGAAGATTATTAAGGGGCCAGCTGGAACTGACATCGCTCTTCTCAAGTTGGACAGGTTAGACTAGAGTATTCTGTGTGCAACTGTTGCCATTGCAATTGAAACAACACTCTGAATCTGGTGAAGTGTTTAATGTTTCATTTGTTTACACTTTTTCGAATATCCCAGTTTTATATACAGATAAAAGCATGAGTAAGTGATTCAACAGTTGATTCCCCAACACATGAGTTTTAGATGGGATTGTCTGCACATTGCAATAATGGCAGATGGAATGTTGAGGAATCCTTATTGAAAAAAGTCACTACCTTTGCAGTTTCATTTGGTTACACGAGTGGCACAATCCTTCTCGTTTAGCTGGGATCAGTAGTTTTTGAAAATCATTTTTTCGGACTGACTACCAAAACACACTTGTAACCAATCAGCAGTAAGGAGTGGGTCTACTAATGATGGGGAGGAGAGAGCGCTCAGTGCTCACAGCACATTTAGCCAAACGACTACAGAAAGAGAGATGGCAGATAAAAAACAAAAGAGGAAAATGCCTACGGAACTTAACATGAAAAAGAAGGCTTAAGATCAGGAAAGAGGTAGAACTCGTGTTAATATCTGAGAGGCTTACCAGTGCTCGAGAGAACTCAAGGAGTGGTAAGGCCTAACAACGCCGAGTTTGCTTTATTTCTTCTCGATAGGCGAGTAACATTGTTTAGCTTTGTTTCACAACACTAACATGCTCGTGTGTTCGATGAATCGTTGTTCGATTCATCCCAAGACGTCATATACTGACATTTCGTCCACATCCAACGCACATGGCACCCTAATATGAGACGCAGATATATATGGGCCAGAAGGCGCCTCCTAGTGGTGTAACCCTAACCTTACCCCAGACCTAAACCTACCCATAACCGAACAAAGCTCTGTGCGTGTTATATTGACGCTAAAGGGTGCCATGTGCATTGGATTTAGACGAAATTTCAAAAGCGTCATATGACGCCCTAGGATGAGAATGCGTTAAAATGACAATGGCTCGTTTACACCTCCTCCACTGTCTGTTTATAGCATCGGCTCCAAAAGTGCGTCTGAAAAGTAAGACAAAATACTCCTAAGGTTTGGTTCCTAATTTAGTGGTTGATATAACCCCCTCTTTTTATAGTTGTAATACATTCGTTACTATTACTATCATGCTCGTGCTATCGAGTTGATCATGATAACTTTGTTGGAGTTGAGCGTTGTGAAATGGAGCTGAACCACTGACGCGTTAAAACATACGTTACTACCAAAACACATTCGACATTGGTTATTTCAAATATCAACATTGGCCAAAAGTGTTTCCAAAAACTGATCCAACCTTTTAGTGTTAATTTATCTCCCTGTTGTGCTAAATGCAGTTCCAGCTTTTGAAACTGAAAATTTTATTTATATTGACATTACGAAGGAAAACTAATTTTGTCTGATTTTAGGCCTGCATTAATAAATGATAAGGTATTGCCCGCGTGCCTACCAGACAAGGACTACATTGTACCAAGCAATACTGAATGCTATGTAACAGGCTGGGGGGAGACACAGGGTAAGTCTGAAAAAAAATATTTATACTCTTTTACTTGATAATAAACATGATTGATTATTGATTAAAGATTTCACAGTGTTCACAGCTACAAGATCTTTTGTTTCCTAGGAACCGGTGGAGAAGGTTTCCTGAAAGAAACCGGCTTCCCTGTAATTGAGAACAAAGTCTGCAACCGTGCATCTTTTTTGAATGGCCGCGTGAAGGAGCATGAGATGTGTGCAGGAAACATAGAAGGTGGAACTGACAGTTGTCAGGTAAGGGAGCGTTCACTATTTAGGTTCAGTCACCTCACTGGCTCTGATTTGAACCCTAGTAAGCTTAGCAATAATTAAAGCTGTGTCTCACTAGTATACACTATACACTTACAGTATACACTATGTACTTATGCACTATGTACTCATCCGTGTAGTGTAGAAATTTTATAAGGTTATTTTGTCATTTAACATTGGAGTCTGATCCCCCACCCCGTCCATTACATAATTAAAGTTGCAACAGTTGAGTGCATTCCACACTTAGTTTCTTTCCATTCATTTAGCAAACAAACGCCATCACACGCCTGTAGGTGATGGGTGCGTAGGAAAGGAAGACCTTGCAAGACTTGTAAATAATAGCAGCAATGTTTTGGTCTTTCGACCTTCATCAGGCATCTGATGGCATGCCTGATGAAGGTCGTAAGACCGTAACGTTGCCGCTAAATTAAAGTTTTATTTGCAAGGACTGATAGGCTACTACACTTTATCTACATAATAAAGACATCAAACTTAAAACTTTACTCTTAAAGGGATAGTTCACTTTGAAACTAATTTTTGATATGTTTTAGCTTACCTCAAGGGCATCCAAGATGTAGGTGTCTTTGTTTCCACAGTATTTTCAATTTTGATATTTTTCGGTCAAACCGTTCTTGTCTGTCAGTCATATAATGCAGGTTTAGGGGGTCCTCCCTCGGTTCACCTCAGAGAGCATGCAGAGAGAAGTCAAAATTAAACACGATTTAATGACTCGTAAATGTAAGTACACATTGATGGCCTAAGACACGAAACGAGCGGTTTGTGTGAGAAAACGAACAGTATTTATATCGTTTTTACCTCGTGTAACCACAGCCATGTCCAACTAATCTGAGAGCGCAGGCGCTCGTTTCGTGTCTAAGGCCATCAATGTGTACTTACATTTATGAATCATTAAATCGTGTTTAATTTGGACTTCTATGTGCATGCTCTTTGAGGTGGACCCCATATACCTCCATTATATGACTGACAGACAACAACGGTTTGACCGAAAAATATCAAAAATACTGTCGAAACAAAGACATTTACATCTTGGATGCCCTTGAGGTAATCTAAAACATCAAAAAAATGTATTTCAAAGTGAACTATCCATTTAATTGAAAGTAGAAATATGCATTTTTGTGTGAAGCTGTATTGAAACAAATAAATAAATAATAAAAAATATATAATAAATAATAATAAATAAATATGAATTGTGCATTTAAATGAATAGTTCACCCTAAAATTCTATGTTTTACTACAGGCTAATCATTAACTCTTATTTCCCAATCTTTAATAACTTTCTTTCACAGGTGAGATTTGAGATCTACATCAAAGGTAAAGATTTGAAGTGAATAACAGCTTTAATTGTGACGTGTTCCTCACACTTATACAGGGTGACAGCGGAGGGCCTCTTGTCTGCTACGCACAGAACCGCTTCGTCCTTCAGGGAGTGACATCGTGGGGTCTTGGCTGTGCTAATGCTATGAAACCTGGAGTGTATACTCGCGTCTCCAAGTTTGTCAGCTGGATAGAACGCAGTATGAAAGAAAACTGAGAATTAATCGAATGATGTGCAGCGGAATTTAAGTTAACAACGGATGGTAAAATAATGAAATAATAATTGTATTGATGCATAAGCCGTTTTAAAGGTTAAGTAACTGACCCTGTTCAGATGTTCAGTTTTACAAAACTGTCAAGCCCACTTTCAGTCTGTACGGTTATATGCACATGTTTATTTACAGAACTCTTCAAACAACCAAAAATGTGAATCAGAAAAAATTGTTTTCCAGCATTAAAGTGATGGTAAACATCTTTGGAGAAAGTCTCTTTAATTGTGCTCCACAATACAAACAGTTTTGCTGTTACAGTAACAATGCTCTAAAATGTCCAAACCCTAGTAAGTGACATAAAAAATAAGTACAATTTACTATTATCATGAATAATTTAAGAAAAAAAAATATATACACAGATATTTTTATTGGGAGTTATTTAACCTTTTTTTTTTAAATAAACATCTTTGTCAAAACTTGCATTTAAAGAAATGTAAAATTAAAACAATAACTATAGCTATTTATAAATACAGTAACTACAGTCAATGATGAATAATTAGTTTGGGAACAATAATTAGATAGCTGCGTAAAATCATTGGTCCTTTGATTAGATTGCAACATATTTTATAACTTTCTCAGCTTGATTACTAAATCAAATTCATATTTTAATAGTTTGTTAACTTTTGGAATGACAAAACTTGTTGATTAACGAGAAAATGGTTTTCAGTTTATATAATTTAGATTAAATCCTCAAAGGAGAAGGGATAAGCAGCATCACAGTCAAGTTAAGGAGGTTGCAGTGTTCAGACTGCTGTAACTTCTTTGTTCGATGTCAGATCAGAGGGCAGCAAATTCTCTAGCTGTTGACCTTTCAGATGGTTTTCTTTGTTTCTGCACGTACAGTTCACATTTGTGAAGAAAGGCTCAAATGCTACCATGGTGAATATGTGCAGGGAGTAAAACCTCACCTCTTTGGACATTCAATGTCATCAATGGTTTCTGGAAGAGGCACACCTTTGGTTTCAGGTAACAGAAGAACCAGTCCACCAGCCACAAACGCAAGAGCACCTGTGAGAGTGAACATTGACTTCACCAACCTCACACTGGAGCTAGAACATGCTCAACATCACATACTATGGCCAGGGGTGTCATGCATTTATTGTGAGGGGGGAACCAGTGAAAGTCATGCTAAGATATGACCAATGGAATACCCTTTTAATAGTAGCTGTCAATACAAATACTAGAGTTATAGTTTCTGTGTAGCATTCCAACGGGACCTGGGTTCAACACCTCATTGGCTTTGTAATAAACAAAACATTTGATTGGAACATCCAATGAGGAAATGTTGGTCCAAGATGGTCAAAGTTTGTCTAAACCTACCAGCCCCTGTTTGTAGATGCTGTAAGTACACCGTGCAGTAGGCAAACATAAATTATAAATAAGGTGTATATCTATACATTATTATATAATTTATTTTGGATATTTTTTTAAAGTAAAATTTAATTTTATATACTATATACATTAACCCAAAGGATTATTAGGAACACCATACTAATACTGTGTTTGACCCCCTTTCGCCTTCAGAACTGCCTTAATTCTGATTCAACAACCATTCTTTAGAAATGTTGGCCCATATTGATAGGATAGCATCATGCACATCCAGGGCACGAAGCTCCCGTTTCAATTGGGCATTTAAACGATGCCCAATTGGCACCAGTGTTGGGAGTAACGCATTACAAAAGTAATACATTACAGTAACATATTACTTTTTGCTGTAAGGCATTATTAATCAATTTTCAGTAATATTTTACTCGTTACATGTTCAGTGAGGCTTGTATTACAGTTGTATTACAGTGTATTGTCTGCTTTTACTTCTTAAAGGCAACAGACTATGTGAAAGTTTTAAAGCAGTCTTTTAGTGCCAGTTCAGAGCGGTCGCGTCTGTAACATTGTTTTTTCCTCATAAATGCGAACACGAAAACTAAAATAAAATGAATATTTTAAGTTCTATGGAGACTGGAGAGCCAACCCTTCCTCATCCGATTTGCGCAGTGTAATTAACAGAATTACAAAAAATATATTTTGCCTCCTATTTTTTTGTCACGCATGAATGTGTGTCTTTTCCCTAATATTAAAAATAAAACATAGACTGATATTTGTCTAATGTCTGGAGTCCTTTAAGGAAGTAGCCTATATACGTTTCAATACATGAATTTTCTGAGAATTTTTATTTCAAGTTTTGACTGCAAATGTCATGTCCATAATGATGGACTTCAATTTTAAATAATTTATCCTCAACTAGTTTTGTGGTGTAGGTCTACGTATTTTATAAAGTTAACTTCAAATAATACTAATAGCCTAATTTAAAGATACGGCAGCATTGGATCTGGACGGTAAGGAGAATAACGCTGGAGTTGGAAGAGGTGTGTCGTGATTCTGTAGGTTCGTGGATCTGAGTCGTGTGGCGAATCGCGATTTCGGTTTCATATTGCATATCGTTACAGCCCAAAAGTTAAGTTCTACTTAGTTATTTTGGTGAAAGTAACTCAAAAGTAATACATGAGTAATGTAACGCATTACAATTCTGGGACAGTAATATTGTAAGGTAATGAATTACTTTTAAATAACAGTAACAAGTTATACCTAATGTATTACAGTTTGGCAGTAACTTGCACAACACTGATTGGCACTAAGGGGCCTAAAGTGAGCCAAGAAAACATCCCCAACACCATTACACCACCACCACCAGCCTACACAGTTGGGTATCGAGAATCGAGTATCGATTGGAACCGGGACTAACTTTTAGTTTTTCCCGGAATCGTTTAAAAGTTAAAATTTCGATTCCTAGTTTTGATATTCACAGTCCGCCGAGCAGAAGAAGAAACCGCTGAACAACACCAACGAAGAAGCGTCTACCGGAAGCGTTGGCATAACCGCGCGAGTCGAACATGAGTAGCTTACGTCGGCGGTCCAAACTGTGTCTTCACTTTTTTAAAAATAACGAAATCTCGGCAAAATGCAAAATTTGTGACAAAAGGAGTATTTCCTTCAGAAAGACCGTTGGTTAGCAAGGTTAGCTAAAGTTTTTTGTCCCTGCCTCTTAAAAGAATCGGAATCGAGAATCGTTAGGAACCGGAATCAAAACAAGGAATCAGAATCAGAATCGTTCAAATTCAAACGATACCCAATCCTAGTGGTAACAAGGCATGATGCATCCATGTTCTCATTCTGTTTATGCCAAATTCTGACTCTACCATCTGAATGTCTCAACAGAAATAGAGACTCATCAGACCAGGCAATATTGGGACCTCACCCCTAAATGCATTGAAGCAACTGTCATGTGATTGGTTGATTGGATAATTGTATTAATGAGAAATTGAACAGGTGTTCCTAATAATCCTTTAGGTGAGTGTATACACACACAATCACACACACACAAATAGTTTGTTTTGTTAACGCCCAATTATTATTAATTTTTGTAGGTCTGTTAAAAGCCTGCAATTGACTGCTGCCTTTGAAGGGAGAGTTAAACCAAAAATGTTCAAGCTGTCCTTCTCAAGTTGTTATAATCCCGTTGAACACACAAAAAAAGACATTGTGAAGAATGCCGGTAACCAAACAGTTTCTGGTCCCCATGGGCTATATGCACGCATAAGTTCCGCATTTGACGCAAGGATGCTCGTCCATTTCTGGTTGTGGAGATTAAAGCGGAGGAAAACCGAGGAAAACAGGATTATGGCAGAGTCTTCAAAATTTACCGTCCTCCCGTCTTTGAAACGAAACGTAAATACATTTAGATGTAATTTTATATATAGTTATGTTTATTTAATATAATTTTAAAAAGAAGCATAAACACAACGAGGGGTGTCTGTTTTATCTGTTTTTGTGACTAACGTTTTTATTAGTATAACCATGGAGTATAAAATTTCAATATAAATTCTCGGTTTTGCATTGGACTCTACGATCGGCGGAAGTTATCGAGCATCCTTACACCTTCACCGGAAATACCGACGTGCATAGAGCCCATTGACTTCCAACTAGGGTGACCATATTTTAATTACCAAAAACCAGGACACTCAGCCTGGCAAACAGATGGGCCTACTCAAATGATACTCAGTTTACTCAAAGATATCTTATTAATTTCAATACATTTAAAGTAAAACAGGACATGTCCTGGGAAAACAGGACAGTTGGTCACCCTACCCTACTTCCAACGTATTTTTTTTTTCCACACTATGGAAATCAATGGGGACCAGGAACTCTTTGGTTACCAACATTCTTCAAAATGTCATACATGTTTTAAACAACTTGAGGGGGAGTAAATGGTGACAACATTTTCATTTTTGGGTGAACTGTCTCTTTAACGTCTCCCCTCAATAGTTTCTACTGAAGTGTTTGGGACGGTGTGTGTTCTTGTGGTGCTATAAGCCATTCAGGAAGTAATTTCCAGCATCTTGTAGCATCGGTGCTATACCGAACAACACAGACAACTCAGTCTGATTGTGTGTGAAATAAACACAACATCTGTTTTTGTACCGAAAATGATAAGAGGTAGTTCTATCCAGAAGACAGAAAGCCTGTAGAGCAGGAAGGGCGCTATAATCCCTCCAACGTCACACATTGTGGAACAGACCGATACACCCAGATTTCTGCAGCCAAACAACGTCATGTACAGTAGCATTATTGACCAAATAGAAATTATATACCGATTTTATACTCCATGCAATGCATAATTAAAGATAAATCTGGAATATAACTCACCTGATAACAGTGGGATACAGTTCAGTATTCACAAACACTACCATTTCAAAAGCCATAGTGATGCCAAGCCGTCCAACACAAGCAACGGCGCTTTTTAACCAGAACATACCTGTAGAAGATACAAAATTTGAAGTAAGCATACATACATCACCCTTTTTCAGTCAGCTTCAATCAACCACAAATGGTCACTCACCTTCCGGGATGAATGCTGTGATTAAGCAAGCCGCTCCTGCCACGATATTCGCAGTTGCAAAAGGAAGCCGGCGTCCGATCCGCTCAATAGTGAAAAGGATGAGGAAAGCTGCTGGCAATTCCACGACTGCAGATATGAGGAAGTCCACGTACACGTTTCCTCCGAGGATTCCCAGCCTCATTATAAGACCCTGGTAAACCACAGCACTGGTGAACCTACAACATGAGGTTATAGATAAATGTTCACCCTAATGCACTGCATGTGGTGTTTCGGCTCTGACGTACCAGTTGAAACTAAGGATGAACGTGTATCTTCTCAATTTGGACGTCTTGAACAGATCCATGAAAGAAGCAGTTGAGACAGGCTCTGTATCGTCACCTGACAGTGTCTGATGGATGAATTTGGGCATTTCAGAGACATTTGGGCATTTGGTGTTAAATTTATGCTCCTCATCGTATGTGTATATTTTGTACCTCAATATTCTTGGACAGTGTTTTCTTGTTCTCTTTGGCTATCATTTTTGTGATCTCCAGTGCTTCGGTTCTCTTGTTTTGGCTGAGGAGCCATCTTGGTGATTCTGGGATAAACCTGAAAAAGTGTATTTAAATAATGCAACATGGCTACATTTATCTATCAATAGTGTAACACAAAAATATTTAACTACATTTTCAGATGAAAATGCACGATAGTACGATTTTTTAAAAATGTTTTAGAAAGAAGTTTCATGGGCTCACCAAGGCAGCATTTAATGTTGCTTATTATTTTGTGGAAACCAATAGAAAAGCGTTTATTTAAAACATAAATAACATTATAAATGTCTTTACTGTCCCTTTTGATAAATTTAATGAATCCTTGCTAAATAAAAGGATTAAAATTGTCAAAAATGTTACTGACATTTGATCTTTTTTTAATGCTTCCCGAACCTTAGAATGGTAGTATATCTTGAAGATATACATGTGCTATAAAAAAGTACTGGGTAAAACACAACAGTGCTAGTATTAAAGTTTATATTTAATCTGGAATATTCTTTCCAAGTTTGAAAGGATACATACAATATTTCAATACAAATTTGCACACAAAACTCAATCAATCAAGTGCAGCCTTCTGAAGACTCTACCTGCACTCTAAAAAATGCTGGGTTGTTTTAACCCAAATATGGGTCAAAATATGGACAAACCCAAATGTTGGGTTAAAAATGCAATTAAAAAAATGTACATTTGAAAGTGAAAGTTGAAGTTGGCTTAAAATTTAAAATTACATTGGGTTGGGTTTGTCCATATTTTACCCAAATTTGGGTTCAAACAACCCAGCATTGTTTAGAGTGTGTGTTGCACATAATGCACAGGCCCTTACCAATAGTAAGTCAGGAAGATGATGTAAGGTACCGTAAAGACCACCTGCAGCCAGCGCCAGTTTGGTATGAAGTAAGCTAAGAGAGGAAGGATGAGAAGGCCCAAGCTGAAGAACATCTGATAGGTTACTCCCACCGTTCTCCTGTAGTCCACCCCAACCAGCTCTGTGACTGCAGCCAGGAAATATGAGGATATCAAGAATCCAAACACTGCAGTAAACATTTCAATCAGGAGCACTGCAGCTGACTGATTGTTAGACCGTAACACTATGAAAGTACAATGAGTAACATATTTCATTTAAGTGTGATCAAATAACTGAAAAAGTTAGGCTTAGTTAGGCTACTTAGCACGTATCCAACCATCCAGCCGCCCTTCACTCCGAAGCCAAAGAGAGCTCGGAACACCAGCAGGGCGATGTAATTCGGAGACGTGGCCACCAGAATCCCTGTAATTGCGATGAAGAAGTTGGTCATCAGGAAACTCTTCATTCTGCCATATCTGAAATAAAACGGACAAACAATTCACAATCGGATGGTTACTGTAACCTTCATGTTGACATCCCAGATAGCAAACTGACATTGAATCAACGTGGAAACATGACATCGAAAACAACGTTGACCTGCTCATCGAATTAAAGGGTTAGTTCACCCAAAAATGAAAATTAAGTCATTAAAGGGTTAGTTCACCCAAAAATGAAAATTAAGTCATTAATTACTCACCCCCATGCTGTACCAACCCCGTAAGACCTTCGTTTGTCTTCGGACCACAAATGAAGATATTTTTGATTAAATTTGAGAGCTGTATAACTACCACATTGGCTCCTAAGGGACTGCCTCTTGACGGCCCAAAAAGTCAATGAAGAAAATGTTTAAATATCCCAAGTGACTACCGTGGCTCAACTATATGTTTATCAAGCGACGCGAATACTTTTTGTGCGAAAAAACAAACAAAAATAACGAGTTTATTCGACTATTTCTTTTCTTCCTTGTAGGCCAGAACGAGACTTCCTTAGATTTCCACGACGCATGCGCGAGAATTGCGATCTGCTCACACCAGCTTACACTACTTCAGATCGCAATGCTCGCGCATGCGTCGTGGAAATCTAAGGAAGTCTCGTTCTGGCCTACAAGGAAGAAAAGAAATAGTCGAATAAACTCGTTATTTTTGTTTGTTTTTTCGCACAAATAGTATTCGCGTCGCTTGATAAACATATAGTTGAGCCACGGTAGTCACTTGGGATATTTGAACATTTTCTTCATTGACTTTCTGGGCCGTCAAGAGGCAGTCCCTTAGGAGCCAATGTGGTAGTTATACAGCTCTCAAATTTAATCAAAAATATCTTCATTTGTGTTCCGAAGACGAACGAAGGTCTTACGGGGTTGGTACAGCATGGGAGTGAGTAATTAATGACTTAATTTTCATTTTTGGGTGAACTAACCCTTTAACGTTGAACCAACGTCAGACGCGTCATTCTTTCAAAACTAACGGAAAATCAACTTTAAATCAACGTTGTTTCAACGTTATGAAAGCAAACCAATTTTTGATTTTCATTTAGCTTTGATGAATGACGTTGGTTCAACGTTAATTCGATGAGCAAAACAACGCCAGATCAACGTTGTTTCAATGTCATGAGCGACGTCGTTTCCACGTTGATTCAATGTCAGTTTGCTGTCTGGGATGCCAACATATTCATAATTTGGTTTTTATTTTGCATAGGCTAACCTACTGCTTGATAACATTTACTCTACCGTACAAACGTTTGGGGTTGGTAATACAAGTCTCTAAAGCTCACCAAGGGTATATTTATTTGTATTAAATTACATTCATAATCAGCCCCTGCAGCTTAATTGCTTATCAAGGAAATGTATCTAGTTTAAGGAGCTTTAGATATTGAAGGGATACTCAACTTTTTTTTTGGAAATAAGCTCATTTTACAACTCCCCCAGAGTTGAACTGTTAAGTTTTACCGTTTTTGAATCCATTCAGCCGATCTGCGGTTCTGGCGGTACCACTTTTAGCATAGCTTAGCATACATCATTGAAGTGGACCAGACCATTAGCATTTCTGAAAAAAAAAAAAAAAATGACCAAAGTGTTTCGATATTTTTCCTATTTAAAACTTGACTCTTCTGTAGTTACGTCGTGCACTAAGACCGACGGAAAATGTAAAGTTGCGATTTTCTAGGCTAAAATGGCTAGGAACTATACTCTCATTTCCTGCGAAATAATCAAGAAACTTTACTGCCGTACCATGAGTGCAGCAGGCGCAATGTTATGACGCAGCACCTGAAAATAGTCCCCAGCTTCCAACGTGACCGGGACTAAGTTTGTGTAGTCATTGCGCCTGCTGCACTCATGGTACGGCAGTAAAGTCTCTTGATTATTACGCAGGATATGAGAGTATAGTTCCTAGCCATATCAGCCTTGAAAATCGCAACTTTACATTTTCCGTCGGTCTTAGTGCACGACGTAACTACAGAAGAGTCAAGTTTTAAATAGGGAAAAATATCGAAACACTTTGGTCATTTTTTTTTTTGAGAAATGCTAATGGTCTTGTCCACTTCAATGATGTATGCTAAGCTATGCTAAAAGTGGTACCGCCAGAACCGGAGATAGCCTGAATGGATTCAAAAACGGTAAAACTCAACAATTTAACTCTGGGGGAGTTGTAAAATGAGCCTTTTTCAAAAAAAAAAAAGTGGAGTATCCCTTTAAAAAAAGACCCATGTTATGGTAAAGAAGTGTCTGTCATACTTGTCTGCCATGTATCCAATTGCAATGCTGCCCACTAAGAAACCAACACCGAGTGTGGCCTGGAACATGTCAGCATACCAGGCGTCTGCACACACTAGATCAAACTGCAAAACACACAGGTCTAATGAGACATTTTGTTCAATTCATTCACTCAATTTCCACCAAAAGAAAGTCTTGTTTTGTGATTACCTCAGTGACAAACGACTGTCTTCCCTTGTAGTCGTACTCCCAGCCGTCTGAGCAGTCTGTCGTGGCAGAGAGCTGGGCCTGGAGAAAGTCACTCTCCGGATTGTCGCAGGCGAGACCGGTGGCGTTCCAGTCCATGTCGAACCTCTTGCACTGACTGTACGTCACCCCTGCAGAGCCGTTCATCTGGGGTATAGTGGCCCTGCGTGCGTCTTGAAGGCTCCAGCCGCATCTCTCCCGGATCTCAGTGACACCCGGGTCACGGCACCAATGCTCCGGGGTGAAGCCCTGGAACACAATCCCCACATAGACAAAAGAAAACGGTATGGAGACTAAACTGAAAATGACAAAAATTCGCATTTGGCACCGGCCAAATGCGCCGGCCTCCTCTAAGATGTCATCGAAAGTGGCCATGGTCAGTGTGTGTCTAGCGGTGGAGGCGTCCACAGGTTTAGAAAGAGGTCTGCTAAGAGGAGGCACAGACTATTTACCCACAGCTGGTTGACCAAAAGTCCAGAGGAGGTTGAAACTTGATATATTCGTGCTGTGACTGACCAATTACATGCTGAGATGGGACGGGGGCCACAAAGTTACAGTTTAACCCCATGGACATCTGAAGCCCGTTGTGCAATTTGTTACTGTATAATTTCTGTTCAGCAGGTGTTGTATAAAAACGGATGAGTAAGTGTTAAGTAAACCTATATTTTATTTTATCCCATTTCCAATGAGAAAAGAGGCACCTTTTTCACCCTAGCAACCTACAGAAATCTTGTTTATTAGGCAGTTGGTCATCAACTAAATTTGTCAAAATTTTAATATTTGAAATACAGTTAAATATTGGAGGAAAAACTTTACACAAAAAATAGAAATGTTGCATTGCAAACAAAAAAAAGCTAAAGCACTAAAATTATTGAGTGAAAATAAACTATTAATAAATAATAAAATATAACCAGAATATCTAATCGCCGTTAGATGACTTATATTAGATGAACTTATATTAGAAATGTTGCAATGGCAATTAACTGAAATAGGTTGAAGTTTAAGCACTAAAATTGCACAAAAAATAAAATAACAAAATAAAACTGAAAAAATAGTAATATTTAAAAATAATAATAATTAAACAAAAATGACTAAAATATTTTTTTAAATATAGAATATAGGCTATATATATATATATATATATATATATATATGCATATCTACTCAATATTAGTTGAAAAACAAACTAATAGAAATGTTGCAATGATAAATAACTGAAATAAGTTAAAGCTAAGCATAAAAATTGTTGACCGGAAAAACTAAAACTTAAACTAAAACTAAAAAAAAGTAATATTTAATAATAATAATAAATAAATCACAAAAAATTAACCCAAAAATTTTAATTAAAAATAAAAAAAAATATAAAAATATAATAAATTTATAAAATCTATAAATCATACATACATAATGTTAAAATTATACTGGACCAAATGTCCAATAATGACCGACAGGAAACAAGGAGCTGGCTTAAGTTCAGGAAGTAGTGAAGCTGTGCATAAGGTCAATTACTTGAGCGAGAATCAGTTCCTGCCCTCAGAAGAGTGAAAGCAGCGAGATGAACCACGTGACCTCCTGGTAAGAATGCATGCAGAGCAGCTGATAAGTTTTATTGAAATAATGCCATCATATCTCAGCATAAACTATTTAAATCCAAAAACAAGATGCTGTATAACATGACAAATACAGTCTGAGAACAGCTAAAGCATCTAACAGAAAAAAGATGATCCCAGGACTCGAAGTTTTTCAGAGAACTAAACCATACGGTCTCCCATACAGCAGTAGCAGACATGTTTTTAGTAGGGAGAGGGGGAACCCGTGACGACCAATAGCTATCGAGTGTACCGTCCACCTTCTGCCCTAAAGGACAGAACAAAATGTCTATCAAAGTGCAAAGTACTTAAAGAGACAACCAGTCGTGCTTCACCTCAGTTTGATGTACCATCTCAGGAACAATGAGTTACGAAAGACATACAGAACTGCTGTGGCTTTATATGGCAACCATATTTGTGAGAAATACACTGATGGATGGGTAATACAAGCATATGAGACAAACTTTTAGAGCCAGAGTGAACAATACTGTTTCATTGCCATGTGAGAAGAACGTTTTGGTAAATCATTTCCGGACAGCAGAATGCAACAACTTATGCAGATGTATGCATCTTTCTTAAAACCCAGTTAGTCAGCAGGACATTAAAGGTGAGCTGAAACTGATAAACAACACATTCAGCAAATAAAACGCATAAAATCAGCAGGTGTTGTATTCGATTAACGTGACTAGCAACACAACTGTTCATGCTAACGGGAAAAGTGCTTTCTGCTGCTTGCTGTACATGCGACTTCTTTCATAGGCACGGATTATTTCTGTGCAAAGCGGAGTTTAAAAGAAAGGGGAAAAAAACACTTTTACAATGAAGTTGAATTTGTTAACATTAATTAGTGATATCACGAACTAACAATGAACATGACGTTTAATCTAGTTAAACGTTAATTTCCACAAATACTAATACATTTGTAATAAATTAAGTTATATAAATTAACGTTGGTTAATGTTTCATGAATGACAAGTAACGGTATACTCATAAATAAATCGCGTACACAAATATTACGCACCCCTGAGAAACTTTGGGCTTGCTTGCAGAAGCACAGAAATATTAAATAAAGTTTTTCCGCCACCCCATCACTTTCATCACAAGTTTTGTGAGTGAACACAAACTTTCTCTGGCGAACGCAAAAGTATTGAATATAATATTTCCTCCCACTCCCATTTTTTTTAACATTACCAAGTTCATGATATCTACTATATATATAATAATGTTAATGAATTCAACCTCATTGTTAAGAGTTACGCAAATATAATAATGACATCAATTTACCAATAAACAGCACACTGTGATGCACTTCTGATCGCGATGAGAAATTACAATTCCTGCTGCAGTCTTACATGCACTGTCATTCCTTCGTGGCACTAAACCTCTGTAAACGCTCTGTGTTCTAGTAGGATAAGTAGAACATGCTTTTTTTGGCAGAACAAAAGCTTCGCACAAAACGCTCAATGACGAATGGATGTAATGGTTGGATAAACGCTGATGCGGAACGTGATATAAGCGTTGTGATTGAAATATAAACTTGGCAAAGCGAATCAATCTCCTTTCGGTGCTACATGACTCAAGATATGCGAAATACTGCTTCAGATTGTAGTTTAGAAAATGTCTTTGACTGTATCTGCCACAATCAATCCAAATCATTTCAGAAAACAGTGTATTTTTCCAGCGAGGCGGTGTGTTAACAAAAAGATAGTACCCCAAAATCTTTAAATAACAATAAAAATAATCGATATAGTCCATTTCTGTAAGTTCGTGGGAAATTACATAAGACGCTGTACACAATTCATCTTAATCAATGGGAAACGAACGATCAAATGACAAAAAAAAAACATTTTGTCAGGAAGGCATCAAGTCTATTTAGTGGACGAAACGACTAACTTGCTCCTGAAAGCGGTCTCGTAAAGATTTCCCTTTAGAAAACCAAAAATGGAGCAACTGAACATTTAAAGCGTGGTGGCAGAGACATTCAAAAGTTCAGTTCGGCCGCCCGACGCGCTTAGACTTTAAGTAGGTCCTCGTCGCTGTCATCAGGGTCTGGCTGGGCTTTCCTCTGGTTTCTATCGCTGTATCTGGTCTGATTTCTGCTCCGTGTGTCCACCAGGAGCCCAACCAGATCCTCATCGCTCTCTGCTTTCAGCAAAGCCGACTGCAGCCGCGAGGAAGAGGACGATGAAGGGGCCATTCGGACCCCTGGGACCGTGAGCACCTCGTCCTCGCTGTCCTGTTCGTCCAGGGAGAAGGAACGCAGGGCGTCTGCGCTGACGGGTTTGGTGGTGATGTGACCGTTCTCTTGAGGCTCCCGCGTGGGCGTCCCGTTCTCCTCCATCAACCACTCCATCTCATCTTCACATCCATCCTCATCGGTGTTTATCTAATGAGAGAGAGGAACAAAGACAAGGAGGGTTAAGCATAAACTCGTTCTGTTCAACTTGGACTTGTTTTGAAATGATAAGGTAATGAAAGATAATGAAAGGTAATGATAAAATTTTAAATAATAATATAACGTTACCCTGGAGTATTTGTACGACACTGGATTTCCTTTCTTGAAGCAGCTTGACACTTTCTGCATTACAAGTTGCCTAAAAATATATAAACACATTTTAAGGAGCTCAAGTAGAAGTACAATTCCTATGTATATATATATATATATATATATATATATATATATATTTGCTGCTCATGAAACAATTTCTATTATTATCAATGTTAAAAACAGTTGTGTTGCTTAATATTTTTGTGGAAAACCCTGATACTTTTTTTTCAGGATTCTTTGATGAATAGAAAGTTAAAAAAAAAACATTATCTAACATTATAAATGTCTTTACTGTCATGATCAATTAAAGCATCCTTGCTGAATAAAAGTATTCATTTTTTTTTTTTTTTTTTTTATGTAGCCCTCAAACTGTATTCACTTTATAGCCCTTAATCCTGTAATTGTGGACAAATGTGGGCACAGAGGACTCAGGTGTGATCCTAATTTTTATTTATTATAAATGTTATATCACTGTCTTTGATAAAGTTTTGTCTATCCATTTATGGTGGGTTTTTTTTCATTTTGGGGGTATTTTTGAATGTATTTACTATAAAAAGTACCATATTTTCTATGTAAATTATGCTTATTTTTATGTTTTATTTTTTTTTAACTACATTAAAATATCATTCCAATAAGTTCTAAGAGCTAAAACCTAAAGATGAAGTGACTTTGCTGTCACCTGGTGTCTTATTTTGGCTTATTTTACAATGCTCTAAATTACAGTTTTTCCCAATTACATTTCTATGGGTGCCCATTTTTGACCCAAATACAAGATTAAGGAGTTTTTTTTTCACCCACTTAACATTGTAGAATTGAGTTTAAAAAAGTGTGTGTGAAAAGTAGCCAAGTCTTGTACCGCTCAGATCAAGGGAAGTATTTTTTAAAAATAAATCAAAACTATTTTGCCCACATTTGTCCAGAATACGGTTTTAGGGTTAAGTTGCATTTACCTCCGTTCTCGTTTGTGCAGCAAGAGAACAAGCAAACAGATTGTGAGCACAACCAACAGCAGGCTAAGCACCGCCCCTAAAGCCTGACTCCGCCCAGACAATCCGGCATGCTCCTCCCCTCCATCAGTGCTGTGCGGGTCCATGGAGCTGGATGAACAACAGGAGAACCAACGTACTTTACCCAAACTTCCTTTGCTAACATATCTCTGTCAGAACTGCCTGGAAACATGTTTCGGCTTTCTGATACTTACAAAAATGTACAAACGGTGGAGGTGTGCCAAACAAACAGATACTGGCAACCATCCGATTCCAGCAAGAATTCTGGGAAACCCTCTCCTGCTGTAGGGCTGCAGTGGAACAGGATGGCCGAGGACACGTTTTTGGTTTTGTCTCGCCCACATTTAGAATCAGACACTACCAAGACTTCGAGGTTTCCACCTGACAACATGCAACATGCCAACAGTTACAACATTACCGAAATATTTTTCCCCCTCAAACTAAACTGTTTACAGAAAAATAAGTAACCTAAACTTAAAATATATTATGAATAATATATTATTAAAAAATTCACCCTAAGTCAGTCCCTCCAGAAAAACGCGATTATGCGATCGCTGAATTCAATGCAAAATCAGCCAAGGTCCGCATATTTATGCGGGGGCCGCATTTTTTCAAATACGCCGCACTTTCGCCGCATAAATTGCCGATTTCCATGCAAAATATGCGGGGTTTGCATAATTTCATAATCCTCGCATTTTCATTGCAAAAAAAGTCACATGTATCTTAGCAGAAAGTTGAAAAATTTTGCGTTTGCTTCACACAAGAGCAGCCATTTCCCCCTGTTTCCATGGGAACGTTATGAAGTGACGCAATTACGCGACGCCAGACAGACTCACGGAGGCGATTGACATCTCACAAATCGAACTCGTACTCGTTCTACCATCACATCGTTACTTAATAAACAACATAAGATAAAAGAAGTAGCATCAGAAATTACCCGCACACATGGGGTGTTCGAGGCGCACATATAACACTGCAGAGAGTTCAACAGGGAGCGCGCAGCTCTTAAAGGGGCCACACCTTATTTACACTGTTACAGTATTAAATAAAACAAGATGAGAAATTAAATATTCCCAGCACTTTCTATGATGTAGTATGCTTGCTTATCAAAGGAAATTATAAGAAATGACTCTTACATTAGCCTAGTGAGAACAGGATGTTGGGGAATCACTTTTTTTCTCTTTTTCATCAAACCGCAATTTTTGCAAGTTCCCGCAATTTTTGCAAATTCCAGCAATTTCATCGCATAAAATTGCGTAAATATGCCGCATATTTCATCGCATTTTTAAGAAAACGGGCCGCGTAATCAATCAAAAAAACTCCGCGTTTTTCTGGAAGGACTGCTAAGTGATGAAAGTGGACTTTTGATTAATTTGCTAATTGTAGTCAAATAACTACAAAAAAGACCAAATATTGAAAAAGTTAAGAAAAATCATCCAAAATATATTTAAATTTTTTTTTTTTTGCCATTTTCATGTTACAAATAGAATAAACAAAAAAGTTACATTTTAAACAAAAACTATTTCATATTTTAAAAATATAAATATTTTTGCAGTTTTGGTGTTGTTACAAATGAAACATTAAAAGAATAAAAAGAAAAAGAAAACAGATTTTAAAAAATTATTTTCCCGGTTTGTGTAAATAAATAAACAAATAAATAAACAGAGGAGGAAATAAACCCTTCCTTGCCTTTCATCTGTCCCAACATGCCGAGCACTACTCACATTTTGTATTTCCCGACATGGTTCTTTATAAAATTGCTCTTACCTTCGATATAATAACTGGCTTTGCTGGAAGAGCCAATTTGTCGGTGGTAACTGCTTTTAATCTTGACCTGACAAATATTGGCCCCCAGGCAATTGGAAATGGAGCTGTCGGTGATGCCAGATAGCTGGATGTGGTAGATATAGCGATCTCCATTGGAACGTATGTCTCCTGTGGCGTTGTGGAAACTGGGGACAGATAAAACACGGTTTATCTCATGCACATAACTAGACGTCATGTGGTGTAGTTGTAGGCTCTGTATTAAAGCGGGAGAACTGAGAGAGAGCATGAGATGCTCACCGGTAATAAAGCGCCCCCAGGCTGAACATGGCTCCTGTCTCTGGGATTGTGATGGTTCCATTGACCATCTTGACTTCCTCCTGCCGTACAGCACATGCAGATCGAGTCTCCCACTCCACCCAGAACTCGCATGCAGTTTTATCCTCTCTAAAACACACCAAGGCAAAAATATGAATCTTATTTACCTGCCTGAGAAGTACTAAAGCCCTGTAAAAGTACGTTAAAACTACAGACCAGATTCCCAAAGGAAACTTTATAAATATGTATACGTGTTTTTTTCATATTTACAAATGATTCACCTGTGCAAAACTTAATTTTTTTCTAAATTCAAGTGCCCTCGTAATCTTTAATCAAAATAACTCTCCCTCCCTCTTGTAGTGACATCTCTTCTCTTCTCTGATGACGTGTTTACTGGCACGAGGGCGGGACATCCCGTCACTCACACGAGATCCACCAATAGCAAACCACAACCATTCAATACGTTCTCGATTACCAAAATCAAATCCAGTCCTACATTTTTCTTGTTTGAGCTGGCCAATTCATTCCAACAGATTTTAAACACCAACACCACAAGTTAAGAATCCATTCAAGCCAAGTTTCTCATAACTTACTTAAACAGTAATTTTGGATGGCCAATTGTGTTGCCACACTTCAGCTGTATGATGGTCCTGGCTGGTTTTTTGTTTCCACACACCTCGTCACCCTTGGAATAATTGACCAAGATCTTTCCATCTGGAGAAAATACATGCTGATTAGAAACCAACAAAGTATAGCCTGGGAAAACCAAGACAACTTTTGGCAAATTTAGATTTGCTCTGCAAGTTAGTCTGGCAAAGACCTCATTCAAGCACATTTCCAATCCGTCGAAATCGCGGCACCAATCAGAAACGTTGGGGCGGGCGTTACACGATAATAATAGCACAGCGACATTTCACAAACATTTTTTTAGCGTTGAGAATGTTTAAATTCTAATATTGGCTTATAAGGGAAATGGAGGCGGAGTTAGTGGTGCTTAGGAGGCTGAGTGCTGAGTGTTGACGCGCAATTACAAACGCAGAGGGAGCAAGTGAATCCTGGGGAGCGGTTCTAACAGACCAATCACAGCGCTTGCGGTACGCGTAGTATAGGTGGTTTGCAGTCACGTGATTGTGTTGACGCGCGGAATGCAGATGGAGGGCAAGCAGTGAAGAGCGCAATGGACGAGATGGAGGAAAATCTTTAGACGCTATTACAAGAGAAATATATCAACAGAAAATCGAAACATATGTTGGACGTGATCCTTACGTTATGAAGAGGACCAATTTTCAACTGAATTGAGATATTTGCCTGCCATCGAGGCTGTAGATATCAGCAACTAACTCTTACAGACATACTTTGTGTAACGTACCAGTTTCCGAACTTTGTAAAGTCAAACAGCCACATAAGTGTATTTAAACACCTGAATAATGTAATTATAAGCCACATAAATTATGTATTAACTCACATTTGATGAAGTGATCACTGTACACACACACACACAGGCATTTCCCATTCGGCTCCTCCCGACCGCAGACGTAGGTTTGCAAGGCATTTTTCCCGATGTTTTTCTGTCAATTTCTTGTATTTTCCCCCGTTATGAACAACAACTTTTGGCACACGATAAAAACTCCTCGTGGTTTGATCGATTTGAGCAACCAAAAACAACGCAAAACATAGGCATTTTGAGTGTTTTAGTGCTTCTTAAATATAGAAATTCACTTCCTGCCCTCCATCTGCATTTCGCGCCATGGCAACGCAGGACGCCATGTGAAAACAAGCTATTGATGCGTTGTTACATTTTTGGAGAGGTGCACGTCAGGGTACACGGTATACACACAGCCTACGGCGTAGCTACGGCATCAGTACGAAGTAGAAGTATAAATAGGGCTTAAATATATACTCGACGCGTCCGCATGAGCGCGAAGGTGCGCGTGGCAAAAATGGCACGTTCGGTGCGCAAGACCGGTGTTTGTCGAAAAATGCTACCGTAGCGCGAATCGATCACAGAGAATGTTGATTAATATATGAAATACAATTGTAATACAATTCTAAGTTATGTGTAGCTACTGTATACTGTAGACTACTGTGTTTTTTTCTATAACAGTGAGAAAAGTAAAAATTATCATCAAACATTCATCTTTAACTTTACTTAGTAACTGAAACTTTCAGTTATTCTTGTTCAGCTGGCTGACCGTACAAATATTCATATGGTAGTTAGCGTTTTTTTAAAGGGAAATTACATTAAAACAAATGAAAATTTACCTTTTGTTTAAAAAAAAAAACAAACAAAAAAAAAACTGATTCTGCACATGCGCATAACCAGTAAGTAGCAAATCTCGATGGGTAGCATGAATCGTCAGAACACCGGCAAGACCATTTCGCTTGGCTAGCTTTATGCACTGCTTTTTTGTAACAGCGAGCATGGCGCCGCGTCCGTGGATGAACGAAATTGCGAAATTCATTGCAAAGTTTTTTTTTGTTACGGTTTATTTACTGTGTGTGATTTACTTAATGGAAAGCACATTCACTTCAAGTTTTCTTGCTGTGAATTTTAAATAAACGTAGAGCAAATAGCTAATCAGTGTCTGCTCGTTTATTCAAACCTAGTTGTTCTATTACAGACGAACGTCGCCGAACATTCTCCTTCATCGCTCTGATTGGTTTTAGGTCTAATGCCCAGAGGCATTTGAGCTACGTTCGCTGCTGACGCCCCTTTGGAAATGATTTGTCTATGAAGCTTTGCCAGACATTTACTCAGTTACAAATGAGAATGGTTCAGTTTTAACCGGACTAAACAAAGTAATAATTATGTCAGAGAAGGTTTAAAAGCACTTACCAATTAACTTCATGGTCTGCGTGTGCACACGGCCCAGAGTCTCTGTCTTTCCACTGGCACGTCTGCGACACACAGCGGCATCCGCTGCACAACCTGACTGGCCTCCATGGACGGCCTGGCACAGATTGAAGTAGTAACTGTGGGAACAAATTGTACATTACTGATTAAAGTTCTACTGATTTGAAAGAGTCACACAAAAAGTTCACAGAGAAAAATAAATCCTTGATTGAAACCAATAATTGGTAATTTTTTAAAAACTTTTATGGCTTCAAATTATAGGTCAATATAATGTTTTTTTTTAAATAGTGCAAACATGTTTCTTATAAATTAGTAATATATTTTTTACATTGGATATACTTTCGGCCACTCTCTAGACACTATAACATAATCAGGTATTGAAAATAAAAAAAAATGATCAAATAAAAAATTATTTAAGGATATTACCTTAGTTTATTTATAAATGTGTATATTTAGGTTAAATTTTACTTACCGTTACTTTATTATAATTATTAATACATGCAACAGGGTCAAATGAAATTCAACAGAACAAAGGGTGTAAGACTCACGAATCTCCCCCGTGGCTAAATTTCCACGGGTCTGTGAGAGAAGAGAGAGTGCGCAGGTCGTAGGTCTGGTGTTGTGCTGCCAGCTTGCACTCCATCTTTTTGGGTGGGCACACAACATTCGTCTTCCACTCGAAGGAGGCAGAACACCCTTGGGTTTCACTGCTCAGCTTGGGTAAGCCACGGCCCCCCTCTGGGTCACACGAGAACAAAATGGACGATTGATGCTTCCCTCTGACTGCAGTGAAAAACACACACAAATAAAAATACCTTAAAACAGCCCTTTTTTAGTCAAGTGCAGACAGTGTCAGTAACACATTTCTTATTCAAATCTTTTAAAACACATATTATTTATAGGTATACAATACAACTTTTGGCTCTTGGGTAGATTCCAGAACAAAAAAACACAGCAAAAAACATGCATTTTGCAAAAGAAAATTGTTTTGGATGAGCTTCGGCTCCGTGTGTGACCGTGCGGATGAATATGACCCTTCCCAATAGATAATGCTTTACAATGAACTCTGTTAAGAGAGCTACATTTGGCAATTTATCTGTTCAATAAAAAAATATACACACACATACATACATACTCGCATACATATATATTTGTTAAATATATAATCCCTGTTTGCTTCATCTCCAAAAATCTCTTACATTCATTCTTCAATTATTTATGTATTTTTTATTCAGAAGAATATTAATATTTACTTTATTTTTCTTCCCTAACATGGAACTGAATCCATTAATTAAAAAGAAAAAGATTAATGAAAGCTGGTTTTACATCAATATAGCTGGTCCAGTTGCTTTATCCAAAACAAGTACATGTATTTTATGAGGTTTTAGGCTGCCAGGGATTCGTACCATCAGCGCAGTCTTCCCATTTCTGATCTTTGTCATAGTTGCTTGTAGTTGCACACCACTTCTTTCCGTCAGTCCGGCCGTCAGTTGTGCAATCAGTATAAGTCTTGCCCAGGTAATTAAAGGGGAAAACGCACAATTCACCTTTAACTGTAACTGAAAAGACAATTAACACAAATTTTAATGATTTAGAGAAAAGATTAATTCTTCCATCTTAGATTTTGAGCTTGTTTGATTGCAATGCATTTTGGAATTGCCTTTACTATGAAACATTTACTTTGCACCTTAAAAAGCACCACAATTAAAACACCTTATGCCTTAAAATGTGGTTTAGTTCACTGTGTTTTTAGAGCGATTCAGTGTGTCTGTCTTACTTTGAGGACAGGTGTCTCCTCCACTATACCGCATCATCACATCCTGCTTATCCCTAATGTAGGTGAGGTTCATGACTTTGCTGTTCCCATATGAAGCCGCTGAGCCAGTGGAGATCATACATACTGCGCTGTCTTTACATCTCGTGTCTGTCACAGTCCCACACACATTGATTGCAAAGGTGCCAGAGCTTCCAGAAATCTAAAAGACACAATAAAGTGAGCTCCAGAATCATTCTCTTTCCTACCATGCACCAATAAACTGACAAATTAAGATGTTACATAAATATAAGATATATATATATATATATATATATATATATACACACACATACACACATACACACATATATGTAAATAAATATATATATATATATATATATATATATATATATATGTATATCTGTGATCACATTCATGCAGTCTTCTTTCATAAACATTACTATTCCAAAATTCGGTGTCTGTAAGGTTTGTTACATATACTTATTTATGTTTTCTGGAAAAAAGTCTCTTGTGATTACCTGAACAGGCCCTGACAGCGCTGAGAGGTCAAAGCTGTAACGTAGTTCGGAGACGCTCAGACGGCAGCCCTGCGCAGAGACGGTCTCCGGGCAAACCACAGGAGTGGCCCACTCGAACACATACATACAGTCCTGTGCCCGGATCATCTGAGGAGAACCCTGTTCGTGGAAAATAATAACACTTACACTCATGTATTTACAGAAACAAATACCAAAATGATTGAATTAACAACAACTCGGTTGAAGTCGACAATTATGACTCCAACTAAGGTTTTTGGGTTGATCTCTTACCAATTCTGCCCCTATCTGGCAGGTGAAAATGATCTTGGAGGAGTAGTTGGAGGTGTGGTCAGAAGGGCATATGGTGCTGCTGGCAAAGGTGATCACCACCTCGTTGGTGTTGGTGTTGTAAAGAGGAGGGGAGGTGATTCGTCCGATGTCCTGCACAGAAAGGAAAAGCCCACAATGAATTTAAAATCTGATTCAAACATATCACTATAGATTAGGGTTTATTCAATAGCAACCCCTGGTACTTCTGTATCAGTAATGAAAAATACTTCATGACATTATTCCTATTCATTTGACTGATAGAAATTGTGACATTTAAACCTTTTTCATCTAAATTGTGACATTTAAAGTGAAACAAGTTATGCATGCGAGACGGCTTTTGTAGCATATTGGTCATTAATTAAACTAATAATACTACATTTTTATGTCTATGATGTAATTGTGTCTAATTAATAGAATATTAAGCATGAATTAAATATTTATGACTGTATAGCTTCTGTGCAAAAGCTGATAAGCATGTCGAGCGCAAATTCGTGATGTCACGATACAAAAATGATAACTTTGTTACGATACCCGACTAAAATTTCATAATACCAATACTGAATCGATACCACAGCAAAAACTAAAATAACTAATAATCGTATAAAATGACAACTTAAAATGTTTACGTTTTATGAATGTATTAAAAAAACAGTATTATTAATTATATTATCAATCATATTCGCTAAAATTACACATTTCTAAACAGGTTGGAATGGGGGTGGGTGATATGAACAACACCTTATGTAATGATATGAGTAATTAAATTTAGTTTTTAATGTCATTTTATCTCACAATATAGTTATTTGATTTTATCTTAAAATATTATTTGCCATTTGCTAAACGATTCAATGAATCAAGCCAACTAATGTGGTTCATTTTCTTTCTTCACCCAATCTTTTTATATATATAAATTAAAATTTATTTAAATTATTTTATAAAAATTATATAAAAAACTGCACTGAAAATACAGGTATCGGTACTCAAATTGGTAAGTAACAAAAATTCAAGTATCAAAGTATAATATCAGAATTGTTTAAGAAAAAGTGGTCTCGTGCCTCCCTACAATAAACCATCTTAAAAAAGCAAGACAAGTGTAAATCACTGCTCATGCGTTTCCTCACAATTGGTTCTCCATTAACAGGGTCCATGCACACAGCGGCGCCTGGAGGACAGTTGACCCCTGGGATGGGGTTGAGGGGCTGGCAGATGTTAATGTAGAAGTCAGGAGACTTATCCTTGTCTACATCTTCATTGATAGCGGTGTAGTAGCCAGTGAGATGGATGAGAGGACTCAGGTCAATCTGGTTGGTTCCGTTCCAAACGGAGCACTTCACCTGCAGAAAAGATGCACTAAATATGATGCCGGTTCAAATGAAGCGAGGTTCAGGGGATTGAAAGACTTTTAAAAGACTTTTACCTGTTGTTCGCAGACCAGAGGGGTGTGCCAGAAGAAGAAGTGAGCGCAAGTGGTGTCATCCGAGTACACCAGCACGGGCTCATCCGTGCCTCCTCCCTCAGACTTGCAGACGAAGCTGAAGACGCTCTTGTGTTTGAGGGAAGGGTCAGCGGGGCACGGGTCTCCATCCTCATAGGTGAGCTCCACCACCTGATTCTTATAGACCAGCTTCCTTGTGGCGCGTCCAGCATTTATGGCCATCGAATTGCTCTTGATGCACACACCTGCAGCAAAAACAACATCTTAAAGAGCAACTTAATATTTAACCAACTTTTTTTAGTTAATGATCTGTAAGAATGGATCTTTATTAACAGTGTTGTAGTCGAGACCACCTCACTCGAGTCCAAGTCGACACCGAGACCAGAGAGAGTCGAGTCCGAGTAAAGACCGAGTCCATAGAGAGTCGAGTCCGAGTCGAGTCCGAGACGGTCGAGTCCGAGTCGAGACCGAGACCAGTGAGGGTTGATTACCTAATTTACTTTTATTTTCTTAGAGAAATCCTTTTTTTTTTTACTGAATTTACTTAGAGTTTAAAAAATATGATCAGTTTAGGGTAAAAAGGCAACATAGTAGGTGGTGTTAAAAGTAATTTTATTACAATTTGTCATGCGCAGTTGCGCACTAGAAAATCACCAATCACTGGGCGTGTCAATCAATTTAAAGAAATATTTTATTAACATACATTAATAATCATGAAAAATATTTTGAATTGAACTCGAGTGGACTCGGGAATAAGTCCGAGTCCTAAAAAAAAAAATGTTCGAGTACGAGTCAATTCCAAGTCCAAATGGACACGAGTCCAAGACAAGACCAAGCCCATTAAAATATGGTCTCGAGACCGAGTCCGAGACGAGTCCGAGTCTCGAGTACTACAACACTGTTTATTAATACCAGTCATTGATTTGAGTAACTTTTTTGACATTTGTTTATAAAGCGTTTTATTTCTACAATATATGGTGTAAAAACGTCTTAGTGCTGCCCTCTTCAGGTTGAACGGTGGCTACTGCAGTTTAATTTTCCTATTGGATGTTCCGCACTTCGTGACGTACGCAGGTTTCAGCTCACCACGTGAGCTACGCCCTTGGCAGTATAAAAACCATCTTGTGTCGTCAAAACCACTGTAGGGAGTCAGGAATTGGAATTGCGAGTATTGAAAACGATCAGTGTTTTAGCATCTATTTCGTCCCCTCTATCTCGGCTCGGGTCTGCCCACTTTTTCAGCATTTTCAAATATTGCCAGTGGGTGGAGTCAGGCTCTGACCAGGGGTTTAGTGACCCTTTAACATTACCATGTGAAGTCTTTGTTTTTGCTTAAATGTATAAAAACAATTATTCGGTTCTCACTGAAACAGAAATGCTGAGCAAAACAAAGAATAATCTAAACTAATTGTGTCTGTCTATCCATCCATGATTCAGGGACAGACAGCAACAAGCGATAGATGGACTGACGCCGAAGTCCAGGCAAGTTGTGTTCATACCTCAGCCTCAATCAGGGTTCATTAAGATTTTTAAGAGTGAAATTCAAGCACAGTGGCAGAGGTCCTTTTCAGGTGTGGGTACAGGTGAATAATCAAGGCTTCAGGGAATCATTAGATGTACATTATATGCAAAACTACTGCCATTACTCCAACGGAAAAAAATCATTTTGAATTTCCAGCTGTCATTTATACTTTCTCATGAACTGTTGAAGATGGTCCACCATGATCCACCACTCAATCTTTTTAATCGAGAAATAAGAAAAATATCAAGCATTTTCAAGGATAACAATTCTAAATTCAAGCACATTTCAAACCTTGAACCTGGTTCAAATCAAGCATTTTCCAAACTCTGTGCGAACTCTGCTCAATGATATATTATGTAGATATATTATAATGATATATTTCAAATCGCATTACCTATATATGTCTATATTCCATCTTTGTTATCACGAAACCCACAACACGCAACAAAAACACAGCTCCGATCACGGCGTCCTCCATCGTCCAGTTGTTGAATGCCGCGCTTAAATGACTTTGCTCTTGGTCGGCTTACGTTAGTTCAAAATTCCTACTGGCAGTGCGAATGAAACCTGGAAAATGGCCCTAGGGGGAAATTAAGCTCTCGGGGGACCGCGCTGGTGACTACTTCCTATAACAACCTGATGGAAAAGCCCCAGTTCTACTTAAAAATAATCAAGAGATATTTTTCAGCTTTTCACTAACTGAAGGGGACAAATGGAAACATACCTGTTCCAGATTCACAACCAGCGTTGGCTATTTCTCCGCACACGTTCAGTCTGATCATCTTCTTATGGTCCAAGGGATCATAGACCGTATAGCCACCTGTTCGACTGAGGCCGTTAAGGTCAAAGAGATGACCTGATGAGACCAAACACATACACAGTACATCTTAGATTGATTCAGGGGACAAAAAGAAATGCAGTATGCTAGAGCTTGTGTGAAAAAAACATTTTCTGTATTAGGCTATTTGCATGCACCTCGAAGACAGTGTTAAGAGCAGACAGGAAGTGTCTGGATAAGATGATTCAGTTGTTCTGATTCTGAGTGTTCATGTGAGTAATTGTGTGTTCTGTGTGACTGACACTCAAGTGGGTGACTCACCTGTAGCTGGATTTGTGACTTTACAGTCTCCATGCTCAGTGCTGTTGAGAGGACAGGCTGCAGCAGTGAACCACACAAAGTTATACACACAGTTCTCCAGTGCCGTGATCAGAGTGGGTTCAGAGTCCTGTAGACAGACAGCAAGTCAGAGAGATGGACAAGAACAGGGTTACAGATACATTCATAGAAATAATTGTAATTATTATTATTTACACATAATTATAAATTTAGGTCAGTAAGATTTTTTATGTTTTTGAAAACAAAACAGTAAAAATAATTAAATAATTAAATTAAAAAAAATAATTTGTAAAAAATAATTAAATAAAAAATAATTAAATAATTTGTGAAAATAAATAACTGTTTTCTATTTGAATATATTTAAAAAAATGTAATTTATTTCTGTAATGCATATTTTTTTATAAATTCATTTTAATATGTTTATTTGCTATGCTATATGTTGATCAAGAAATTGTATTATTACTATCAATGTTGAAAACCGTTGTCTTAAATATTTGTAAGAATCCAATAACAGTTCAAAAGAACATTTATTTTAATTATAATTTTTTCGTGACATTATAAATGTCTACTGTAATTTTGATCAATTTCATACGACCTTGCTTTATAATTTTACGGTACTATATATATATATATATATATATATATATATATATATTAGGGCTGTGCAAAAGTTAATTGCGATTAATCGCATCCAAAATAAAAGTCTGTGTTTACATAATATATTTGTGTGTGCTGTATATAATTATTTTGTATATATAAATACCTATGCATGCATGTATATATTTAAGAATTATTTGCGCTTAAATTCTGTATATATTTATAAATACATAATCTATATTATATAAATATAAATATTTTATATATGAATAACACATTTTTCTTAAATATATACATGCATGTGTGTGTATTTATATATACAAAATAATTATATACAGCACACACAAATATATTATGTAAACACAGACTTTTATTTTGGATGTGATTAATCGCAATTAATTTTTGCACGGCCCTAATATATATATATATATATATATATGGGCTGTCAAACGATTAATCGCATCCAAAATAAAAGTAAAATTATATAACATAAAATGTAAAATTATATATATATATATATATATAAATACACACACATGCATGTATATTTAAGAAAAAAATATTATTTATATAACAAATATTTATATGTAATATAAATTATATATATATATATATATATATATATAGACACACACACAGAGTCATGGTCCAATTTATATTTAAAAGTCTTTACAGACCACTTTGTCAGGGTCGCATCTGAAGCGAATGATGGTGGTCCGGTTTCTCTTCGGGTCAGGACAGGCTTGTCCATTGGTGTATTTCAAAATCAGTATGTTTTTCTCCCACTGCGGTCCTGCCTCTGCCTCCCCCAGATTCACATACTTGTCTCCGTCCTTCAGACAGGCTGCAGCGCTAGACGGGCAGCTCCACAGCCCTGAGACAAACACCAGTTATAAAACCTATGCTGAATGGTCAATAAACTCCAGCTGTGCTGTGGACACTCACCGGTCTGAGGCACCAAAGACTTGCACACATTGATATAGTAACGCTGCTTCTGATTGTCCTTTTCTGGCACAATCATCCAATTAGATTTGTGCAGGGCCAGAGAGGATAGATCATAGGAATGGCCATTACCATCACTGCCAAAGAAAGAGCATATGATTTAGAAAGTTGTATGATGTGTTAGGTGCAAATATATTAGCAAGAAAGTTGGGTTACACTTTATTTTAAGGTGACATAGTTACATTGTAACTACTCAAATACGTAGTGATTAATATTAATTAGCTACATGTACTTACTACTTACTATAGAGTTATGGTTAGAGTTTGGTTTACGGTTAGTTACTTGTAATTATGCATAATTTACTGTTATTCCTAGAGTAAGTACATGTAGTAAGGTGTAACTGCGTCACCTTAAAATAAAGCGTTACCAAAAGTTGCTCTCACTTGTAAGAGCAGGTTATGGTTTTGAAGGAAGGGCAGGCCAAAGCTGTGTGCCAATCAAACAGATATGTGCAGTCTGCCGTCTCCTTTATGAACTCTGGCTTACCCTGACGAACAAAAAAATAATAATTCAGGAAAACCATTCAACATTTTAATAAACTTGTTCATTGGCTGCAAGGAACTCACAGGATTCTTGCTGTGGTCGCAGGAGAAGAGAATAGCCGTTGATCTCTCGTAGATCTTGTGGCACGTTTCCCCATTCGTGTAGTTGATCATGATAATCCCATCATCAAATGTGAGGTTTTGATTGGCTATCCCTGCAAAGGAGCATGGGTAAGGTTAAACACGAAAAAAAATGAAATAATCTACAACTAATCACCTACTAGCTCAGCACTGACACTGACCTAAAGAAATAAACTCACCTGCTATCCTGTGTTTTTGGCCGTCGACCTGACAGGACGACACAGTTTTGCTGGTGTCGTGAGGGCAGACCGAGGTTGTAATGGGGCCGCACACTGCAAAGTGATACTCATAACCCAAACCCTTCACTTCGTAGTTCTTTCCAGCCAGCGGTGTGAGATTGTATTCATAACCACTCTTGGGGTCCTGGACTTTACAATTTTCACCTACAAAGAGCAGGAAAAATATTGAGTTAAAGCGAGAGCATTAGTTAACTGTCCTGCGAAGGAATTGGCTGTTCATCTTACCCTGCACTCTTTTGATTGGACAAGCTTCTGAGGTTCTCCAGATGAAAACATACTCGCAGCCATCTTTGCGATCAAACATTGGTGCACCCTGTTAATAGATGCAAGAAAAATGCGTTTTAACAGCTTCATCATAAAAACCCTCAGTCTCTTAATATATATATATATATATATGGGACACTTTCCAGATGTAGATTTTTTCGTGTTTCTGAAAGAAGTATTTTCTGCTCACCAATGCTGCATTTATTTGATTAAAAAAAACAGTACTTTTGTGAAATATTATTACAATTTAAAATCAAATTTGATGGATAAATAAGCTTTTGAGGAATAGAGAGCTCAAAACAACCTAATGAAATATTACCTTATCCTAATGAAATATAACCTTTTGTGAAATATTATTAAAATTTAAAAATCAAATTTGATGGATAAAAAAACGCTTTGAGGAATAGAAAGCTCAAAATAACAATATTTTTTAAAAATGGAAATCTTTTGTAATACTATACATTTCTTTAATGTCATTTGTCTACTGTATTTTACCAAAGTTCATCCATGCTAAATAAAATAATTAATTTCATTGAAAGAATAATAGTAACAATACTAATTTTACTGACCACAAAGTTTAGAGTATACATTTTTCTTATTTCTTTTTGTTTGACAAAATAGGGGACATGAGTTTTATCGTTTTTGTGATCCTGTTATTTGCCTAAATCTAAATAAAATTAAAGCTGCAAGCAGCATTTAGCGGGGTTCAAGCAGTTTAGGCCTTTAAGGCCTTTAAGCACAAAAGCATCAAAAGACATTAAGGTTTAAGTTTCAATAATGGCAATTTACCATAGGGAATACATTGTTTTTAACATTTTTAACAGTTATAGCGCCACCTATAGTCCGATCTCCATGAAACTTTGCATGCTTGTTGAATAAGTTATGACACATGTGCTCATCAATTTTTGTGAAGTTCTGACTTTTCCTTTAGGATTTATAGGCTTTTGGGTGCATTTTGTCATCCCCCTTTTATTAATGACCCTGTTATAGCAAAACAAATGACACAGTTCAACTTTTTTTGATAATTATTGATCTAGAGTGTCCAAAGAATTGTCCTAGACTGGTCTGGTTCCGATCGGGCAAAAAACCAGGGACTAGTTCGCAAAAGTACGTTTTTAACATATTCGTGAATATTTAACGAACGATTTGATTGACAGCAATGGTTCTTGAGGCAAAGTTGTTCAGCGTGAGGAGATCTATCAATTGATATACATATTGTGGGGGTGTGTGCAACACCACGTGATAACAGAGCCATAAAACTCGTTAGCGCCAACTAGTGGCCGATTTCTTTCAAAATTCTTACAGACCTCTAGGGCCATGAGTCAAACATGCCCAACGAGTTTCGTTCCGATCGGGCTTCGTTAACCTTGTTTCATAGATGCACAAACTTCATTGGCCGATGGCGGCCATGTTTTTTTAGATACGCCAATGTCCTCATAGATATACATGGGGCCTTGGTCCAAGACACTGCATACCAATTTTCAAGTCAATCGGACTAACGGTCATGTGGTCATAGCCCTTTTTATGTTTTTTTCATATTATAGCGCCACCTAGTGTTCAATCGTCGCTATTTTTTTACTGTGACCTCAAATTGAACTCGTACACATGTGTACCGAGTTTGGTGAAGATATCTCATTTACTTCTCGAGTTATAGCCAATTTAGTAAAATAGGCTCCTCCCACAACGTTTATTTTGCTTCCCCTAGCGACCGGAAATAGAAATTTCAACATTTTTTTGATAATTATTGATCTTCAGACTCCAGAGAACATTTCTGCACTGGTTTGGTTCCTATCTGGCAAAAAACCAGGGACTAGTTCGCAAAAGTAGTTTTTCGACAAAATTCAAAATGGCGGAAAAATTTCCATACCCGAAATGAAATCGGAGATATACGTTTTTTTCGTCAGGTGACCAGCTTTCCAATGATATAAGACACTTGAGTGTACGACTTACGGTCTAGGAGTTATGAGCCGTTTCGCGCAATTGGTTGCTATAGCGCCACCTATGGGCCAATCGGGCTCATAATTTGATAACCTCTCCTCGATTTTTGTACTACCATCTGACAAAGTTTCAGAGCTCTAGCCCTTACGGTTTGGGCTGCACGATGCGTTTTAGGGGAGAATAATAATAATAATAATTAAAGCTGCAAGCAGCATTTAGCGGGGTTCAAGCAGTTTAGGCCTTTAAGGCCTTTAAGCACAAAAGCATCAAAAGACATTAAGGTTTAAGTTTCAATAATGGCAATTTACCATAGGGAATACATTGTTTTTAACATTTTTAACAGTTATAGCGCCACCTATAGTCCGATCTCCATGAAACTTTGCATGCTTGTTGAATAAGTTATGACACATGTGCTCATCAATTTTTGTGAAGTTCTGACTTTTCCTTTAGGATTTATAGGCTTTTGGGTGCATTTTGTCACAGCCCCTTTTATTATTGACCCTGTTATAGCAAAACAAATGACAAAGTTCAACTATTTTTTGATAATTATTGATCTAGAGTGTCCAAAGAATTGTCCTAGACTGGTCTGGTTCCGATCCGGCAAAAAACCAGGGACTAGTTCGCAAAAGTACGTTTTTAACATATTCGTGAATATTTAACGAACGATTTGATTGACAGCAATGGTTCTTGAGGCAAAGTTGTTCAGCGTGAGGAGATCTATCAATTGATATACATATTGTGGGGGTGTGTGCAACACCACGTGATAACAGAGCCATAAAACTCGTTAGCGCCAACTAGTGGCCGATTTCTTTCAAAATTCTTACAGACCTCTAGGGCCATGAGTCAAACATGCCCAATGAGTTTCGTTCCGATCGGCCTTCGTTAACCTTGTTTCATAGATGCACAAACTTCATTGGCCGATGGCGGCCATGTTTTTTTAGATACGCCAATGTCCTCATAGATATACATGGGGCCTTGGTCCAAGACACTGCATACCAATTTTCAAGTCAATCGGACTAACGGTCATGTGGTCATAGCCCTTTTTATGTTTTTTTCATATTATAGCGCCAGCTAGTGTTCAATCGTCGCTATTTTTTTACTGTGACCTCAAATTGAACTCTTACACATGTGTACCGAGTTTGGTGAAGATATCTCATTTACTTCTCGAGTTATAGCCATTTTAGTGAAATAGGCTCCTCCCACAACGTTTATTTTGCTTCCCCTAACGACCGGAACGAGAAATTTCAAATTTTTTTTGATAATTATTGATCTTCAGACTCCAGAGAACATTTCTGCACTGGTTTGGTTCCAATCGGGTAAAAAACCAGGGACTAGTTTGCAAAAGTAGTTTTTCAACAAAATTCAAAATGGCGGAAAAATTTGCATACCGGAAATGAAATCGGAGATATACGTTTTTTTCGTCAGGTGAATAGCTTTCCAATGATATAAGACACTTGAGTGTACGACTTACGGTCTAGGAGTTATGAGCAGTTTCGCGCAATTGGTTGTTATAGCGCCACCTATGGGCCAATCGGGCTCATAATTTGATAACCTCTCCTCGATTTTTGTACTACCATCTGACAAAGTTTCAGAGCTCCAGCCCTTACGGTTTGGGCTGCACGATGCGTTTTAGGGGAGAATAATAATAATAATTAAAGCTGCAAGCAGCATTTTGCGGGGTTCAAGCAGTTTAGGCCTTTAAGGCCTTTAAGCACAAAAGCATCAAAAGACATTAAGTTTTATGTAGCAAGCATTATTTACCATGATAAACCATATTTCAATGTTATTTTTCATGATTTACCATGTTCTAGTATGATTTACCATGAATCTAACATGATTTTCCATAGTTTACCTTGATATACCATGTTATAGGATGGTTTACCACAATATAGCAAGTGAAAAGACTATTAATAAGAAAAGTGGCCAGCAGAGGGCAGTAGAAGACCACTTATTGGCACACTTCCATTTTGAAATGCTTTGTTTCTCCACTATTCTGCACTAAAGCAAACCATTTTTTTCATGTTAACTTCATAAAGCATGCTTACACACAAACGCACGCACGCACACGCACACACACACACACACAAACACACACACATTTATAGTGTGTACAGTATATGTATAGTTTGACTGCAAAACATTAACAAAAAGAAATTTGTTAAATAAATTAACTATGCAAAATATAGTGTGTACTAGGGGTGGAGCCGAATACGGTATTCGGAAAGGCACAAATAATGTGTTTTTTACGAATACTTATTCCGAACAAATACTTAAAAAATATTTGTGTTCGGGAACAAGAAATACTGTATGTCAAAAAGCTGCGTTCCTCATGAGACCGCAGTGCGCGAGTTGAGTGAGCGACGTTCAGGAAGAGGTGACTGACACAGGCTGCTCCACACAGCAACAGAGAGGGCTCGGCTGAGCGAAAAAACACTTAACTGCATCACTATTTTTGTTGAATAGATGTTTGTACCTTAACTAGGTTCCAGAGGCAGTTTATAACTTTCGGGAAGCGGAGTTTGATCGGGAGTATATTCCATTATTGACGTCTGCAGACGAGTGCTCTCCTGTTCGCTCTGTTTACGTAGCTCTGTTAGCTTGGTAACGGTAATTATTTGTTTCTTATATGGCTTGGTTGAATTCTAATGTAGAGTGCGGTCTGTTATTATAACAGGCCGCTGCTTATAAGTATAACACACCGTTGCCATGAAAAACAGAGCGTTGCCATGGATTCTAAACGTAGAGACAGAACGGACTATTTTTCTTTTTTATCGGCAATCGTTTTTTAAATCAATAAACTCCTGTTTATATCTATATTTTGAGTCAAATTATTGATTTACTTGGTAGGTAGCAATGTAATAAGCAGGGTAATGTAGAGCGAGGCGGTTGTTACAGCAAATATAAACCCGCAGGCTTTGCGTAATCCCTAACTTATTCTGTCTGTTAAGCGTCCTTCACCGTGGTGTTGGGGTTCATAATGTTCACAATTGTATTTTATTAGTTGTTGGTTTAACCATGGTTCATGAGGTAATGGCTGACTGTTATTTTCTTCTCAATGACTTTTCTTGTTACATGTTCATTGCTGGATTTATAGAAAAACACCAACCAA